TATATAGATTGAAAGAGAAAGAAAAGATCGCTTAGTTGTGTTCAAAAGACTGTCGGTGAATAGGGTTTTATGATAGAGATCAAACTTCATCCTTGTCATGCATAGTCTGTGTGAATACTGCAGTTGTGTCTTACGTGGGAGACCATTAGAATAGTGACATGTCAGTGCGTTCTTCAGTCCAATTATTGAAAGACGCTAGCGACATAACCCATTACCAAGACAACTCTGTGTCCAAGGACCTTCTAGATTTCTCCAGCAGTCTATCACATGTCCAAGAATTTTCCGTTCGTTCCGGACCGTCTATTAATTTATCCAATTGCTTCGAATGCACCTTCATCTTTTCTCGATCTATTTATCCACGTAACCCCTCCATCATAAACACAGATACCCTAACTGAAATAGAATACGTGAAGTATTTAGGAAATACCATTGACAAAAACTTAAAGTAAACATCCCTTATTTACAACAGTGTGATGAAATTTTTTAAGACTTAGGTAGTTCAACGCCAAACAAAAAACTGATTTTGCTGCTTGTTTTTCAATGTGCTTTTTCTGTCATCCTTTATTGTTCCCCGATGGTTTTTTCTTGATTACTTGAGAATGACTTTGTAATTTTTCGTCGTGGTTTGTCAATTATCAGTTGTGTGTCTTTTATACGCGTTGATGATCTGTTTAAATGAGTGTGCGAAACATTTGCACGGAACATCCTCTCTGACCCCACACTCATCCTTTACTTGGCAATCTAACCGTTCTCATTTATCGACGCATTCTACATATCGTGTATCAGTCTCTCGCACTAACCTCCACAAAAATCCCCCAGTTCTCGCTAGAGTCCTTACAAAATGACAGCGCGTTTCTTCTTAATTTCTCAGCAACCCTGGGGAGGTTAAATGTTTTACTCGTCTCAGTTCCTTCTTTCGACGAGATGGTATGTACATTTTTTATCTTAAATGTGAACATCTGTCCCCCCCAAAAGTTGATGCAAATGCAACTGGTTCACCAAAGCGTGTTGCACAGTGTGTTTAGGANCGTCATATTCGTTTCAGCATTGAAATATCATGATCATCATCATCGTACAGCGAGATACAGTGAAGCGAGCTTCACTGATCGCTGCCAAGCTCACAATGTACACAAATCAAATGATAAAGCACAAGATGGAGAGCGATTGGGCCTACTTGGAGGGAGGCAAAGAAAAAGAACCTCTACGTTCCACACAGAGTCGGGAGACCAGGCGTTTCTCTGATTCTTTGCCTGAGGTGGGCATACAATCGCTTTGATGCTTATACTGAATCCGCTGCTAGTCGTTCCTCGAATCTGGTTTTCTTGAATTTTTTTAGTGTAGTACAATGATTCCGAATACATCGATATTCCCCATATCCTGGCCTGTTGCACGGTACCCGCACAAATCAAATGATAAAGTACAAGCATTCTGACCTGATAAGAAATGACAACATAAACGCCACTGCTGTCGGTTAGTCGGCATATCATTCAGTGTCTCTAACCAGTCAGTTGTAGGGT